AGTCTCACTCGTTCAGTTGCTTTTTTTGTGAAATTCATTAATTGTCAGTACGAGAATTTCAGTAACTTAAGGTTAGTCTGGTTGAAGATTCAACACACATAGGTCTGAAGAAGATGCAATTGTACTACTTGATTGTTCAATTATAATCAAAGCTGGTAAATCATGGATAATATTGTGGAAAATTTAGAAATATGAGCTTTCCAGCATTATATGCACTTTGCTTGTAATATGGCAAGTAACAGGGGATTAGATCAGTTCGATTTAGCTGAGGTAGTACCAGATTTTTAATTTATCTTTTTATAGTCCTTAAACAGATCCGTAATTTTCTAAAGTTCTTCTAGCAATATGCAGACTTTAAATGAAATGGGAAGAAATGATAATTATCAGAAAAATATCTCCATCAAATTCCTACAAAATAAAATTGTGTTTCGAATTCTCCTTCTGTAGTTCTCAAATCACTTGAGGAAAATGTGTTAACTTGGTTCATATATTATACTGTGAAGTTATTAAACCCTATAATAAGTATGTTATGAAGGAACTTCTAAGTGTCACCAGTATCAGAGCTCTGCTGTCTGTGCTAGATGCATATGGAAACATAACCATTGTACCAGTGAACTTACAAACCTAATTGCAATTGGAAAGGCATGTACTTGCACTATTTTTAGAGACTTCAGCAATACCTACTACTGATGATTTGAAGAGAGAGATTCAATTTCAAAGGCCCTAATAAAATAAATCTCACAATCAATTACCATTTTAAATTATCTTTTATTTATGCAGTGGGAAAAAAATTATCCTTTTATGTAGTATTTTAGCAGTTTAAAACCCTGTGCTGAAAAAGATTGAAAAAATTGAGATATAGCATGAGGAGAGGAGAACATACCATGTACTTGAGCTTTTGGTGGATACTTTACAACTACATTTACAGATGTTAGCATGGCTACACTGTCTTGTTTGTTTGTTTGTTTGTTTCTTATTTATTTCCCAGTAACTTGGTGGTCCAGATATTTAAGAATTAGTGTCAGTATTGTAACAAAATGCTAAAAAAATCTGTTTTTTTTTCCCTGCTATGTCTTGAATACTTGTTCCAGATACACAGAAAAATAGTGGAACTTACCTTTTTCTAATTAGTGATGCATCAAAATTGTTCATCAGACAAGAAATTGTGACTGCATGTCTTGGTTTTGATACATCGATTTAATATTCTGCAAAATTGACTGTTATTAACATTGACTATTAATTTATTCAAAATAATTTGCCATTTGCATGTCCTAAATTTTAGTAAATTGCTTACCTAGAATGATTATTTCCCATGTAAATTATCACAAAGCATTTAAATGCCACTAATTTTAATGAGAAATAAGCATGCTGGCATAATAGTGAATAAATGAACCAATGACTGTGTGACTGAACTAGCTTATTGATTTTCAGTGTGACAATACAGTTTAAATCCTTCTTACTATTTTCAGTGTGGAAATCAGAATCTATTCTGCTAACCTTCTGAGCTTCTAAATTTGGTGTCATGCAAGGGCGTGTTTAAAAATTAGCATTTAAAAAGAAACCCACTTGCTTTAAGTTTAAGCTGACACTGTTCCTTTCCTCTGTGGAAATGAAATTTATTAATCATAATAAAACCATCATATTCTGAAGGTAGAGGTCACCCTGAGGAGAAAAAAAAAAAGACCATTCATCACAGAGGAAATTCAATGCAATTTTTTTTCCCAGATAATATCTGAGCATGTATTCTCTCTGGTTTGGAAATATGTTCTTCCATGTTTGTGCTTACAAATGTCAGTTGTATTTAGGAGGGTGCAAGAATTAGAATTTTGCAACTTAATTGTATATGCTTCATTTTCTTTTACAGGAGATTTGGAAGAATGCTTTTTACATTTTTTTACATTGCACACAATTGTTTAAGTGGAATTTCAATATCCTGTAAAAGAAAAGAAAAAGTCTCTCATATTTTAACAAGAATATAAGCATTACTAATTCTGAAATATCATTATGTTAATATTACAGTACAAACTTCAGCACTATAATAATATAAATAATTCTTTTTAATGAGCCAGGATTAACTTAGGTCACAACTCTCATGTTAGGATTACTTCACTCTTTGAATTTTAAGGAAGAAACATGGTTTACACAGGAGGGTAAGAAAAAGTAATGTAAAGCACTGACAATAAGTTATTAATCCTTTGGCAAAAGAGTAACAAAAATGTACTCAGAAGTAAATACTGGATGGAAATAGTGATTTTTTTTTTTTTTCATTCTTTTGGAATTGCTTAATGTGTTTGTTTATCCATTTTCTTTTTTTCAGTTGTCCAGATCTCTATAAAATATTGATATAATGCTATTAGCAACTTGTTTTATTACAGCAGTGTTGGAAATTTGCAAGTTACTTCAGTAGTTGGGTTAAATATACTAATACTTTAGTGAAGCCTGAGCACTATGTATTGGGGCTTGTTGCAGTTGGCCTTTGCACATAGGCCACTGAATCACTGGCCATGGGTGAGCCATTGGATTTTCAGTTTTGTGGGGCACATGGATCCTGCAGGAATGGGATGCCCTGTGGTGTCCAAATGCAGCCCTGCCACAGGAAATGGAGCAGAGCTGTGGAAACAAAAAAATCACAAAGTCCCAATGTTACTTAATGGTTTACAGTAGACCAAAACTAACCTAATTCTTACAGATCTAAATTTACAGTCCTTGCTCAGTATTGCAGTAATACCAGTTAATCAGAAAAAAAAAAAAAACAACTAACAACCAAACTGATTCCCATTGCTTTAAAAAATAATAGTTGTGGCATTAAATTGTGTATAATAATAGTACGTGCAATTCCTCCTCCGTGTTATTAGGGCCATGAGGGAAATTTATAGTGCTGGAAACAAGTCTAGCTTTAAATTAATCGTTTTCCCTTTCTAGATGTTTTCTTATGGTTTGAATGAGATTTGGCTTGAGAGAATTAAAATTATAATGATGTTTAAAATGGATTCCCAGAGTTTAAGAATGGGCATACAGAGGAAAATTAGATGTCTTCTTCACTTCAGTGTTGATGAACAAGACATAAGAGATTCTGTTATGGCTACTGTCAAATCTAAGTATTTTAAATCTCTAAATATTGTAACGATTGCATCCTAATGTGGAGGGTTGCCAAGGCTGAGGTTTATGGGAGTTCTTCTAACCAAACAGGCTCCAGAGTATGGGGTCAGGTTCAAACCTGCTCACAGAACTCTGATGCCTCCTTTCCAAGTGAAAAGTGTCACCAAGTGTCTTTCACCCAACACAAGCAGACGTGGGCTGGTTTTCCTTCCATTTTTTTTCAGTGGGAACTGCCTGGTTTCTTTTTTATCTGCCTTGGACAGTTTCCAAAGATAGGTAATCATGGATACCAAGTGTTTAAATGGAATTGATATATAAATTTAATTCTTCTCTCAGCAATATATTGGATGCACAAAAGAAACTAGTATGCTTTATACAAGTCTTTTATATATCTTTTTCTGAGTTCAGGACCATGTCTTAAAGAGGTTATTGGCCAACAACACCCTGCCTTGCTGGAAAATAATAGCTCATTCACAATGCCTAGTGCCAGCCAATGTACACTGTGAAGTTTGTACTTACTGAACTTTCTTTTCTATTTTTTTTTTTTTCCCATCAAGATGCATGCTTATATATCCTTGGAAAGGGGAAGGCATATAACTTCTGCAAAGCTGTGAGCTTAGGCTTGGTCAGAGTGAGAAGCATTTATGTAAAGTCCCTGCCTTTGCAGTGCTGAACCCTTTTGCCTCTCGACAGCACAGTTATCCCAGGAGGTCGTTTACTGTGATTTCCATATGCAATGAATCCCTCCCATTCTTGCGAATGTTGGCTCAGTGAAAGGGAGAATTAAAGATTATCTTGTCTATGGCAATTTCTGCTCCTTCCTTGAAGATGTCACTGGGTAGGTAGAATTGTCTACTGCAGACAGTTTGGACCTCTTCTCTGCCTCTCTGCCCAGGACCCGCAGCAGTGGGTGGTGGAGGATTGCATATGCCATGGAAACATTCCTTTCTCAGCTTTCCCTCAGCTGATTATCTAGGAATCTGCTAATCAGATTCCACTTGTGGAGGAGTAAATACATGCTAATAAAATAGGACAACTGTCCTCTTTTGAAAAAAAGTAAGTTTGTATTTGTATCTGAAAACTAAGATAATTACAGAGTGAGACCAGTCTGGGGTTACTGTTCATGTAAGACTAAAAATTTTGTATTTTGAGAGGTATCAAGAGCATGATTAAAATGTAGCTTGTTTACTGCATTAGCAGTCTTATGCAAGACACCACTGTAACTTTAAGATTGCTTTTGTTATATGTGACACCTGCCATCAAATGGAATGTTAGCCACAGTCAGTGAAACGTGTCTCGTTGCCGTGTCCATGTCACTGATGGTAACTGCACTCAGACTCGGGCTCTGGAGCTAAGCTGTGCTTTTCAAGGTGAAGAGGAGGACTGGGACAGCAAACCGACCAGGGATACATGTAAAGAAGCTTTGAAGTAGTTTCAACTATAAGGATTTTAATAATAATAATTAAATAATTTTTTAAAAAAATCTAATTTTCACTCTCTTTGCCTGGTTGTAGCAGGAACTTGTGCTGAAAATTGAGACTTCAGCTGTGCAAGCAGCATCGTGGCTTAGGATGACACTGTCTCTTCTGTAGAAAGACCAAGAATGTGCAATAAGCATGTTCCTCAAAAACGAGTGCCTGCCCTTGTTCTACAGCCCTCTCCTTAGCCCAGTGCTGAATCTTAATAGCCTAGGAAAGCTAATTATACATTTATTGTCATTTGTAAACTTAACATTTCCCAAAGGATATTGCTTTTGAAACTGCAAAATGAGTTTACTTGTAATGAATTTGGGTAGAATGGAAGATTTCATTAAAACCATTTTGTTAATATTGGTAACATCTGTTTTTAACAATTTAATTTTTTTTTTTTGCCATTAATCTTCAACTTTCTTTTCTTTTCAGTTACGGACGAGTTTATGCTGCAGACCCCTACCACCACACACTTGCTCCAGCAGCCACCTACGGCGTTGGTGCCGTGGTAAGTGATCATTTCCTCCTCTTCCTCATCACTGTCTTCCCAATCTCCCCACGCTCCACTCTCTGCTTGGATCTTAGCACGGTTGACATCTTCTCACTTTTAGTTAATTGAATTTGTCTCTTGTGCTAACGGCAGCTAAAATGCCACATTAATCCTCCCAGTAAACTTGATAAATGTCTTAATTTCTTGGCAATGTACTGCATGTAAGTTATTATATTTCTAATTTTGCAAGTATCACCTAGCTGAGCACTTACCTTAATGGAATAATTAGTCATTTTGATAATTAAATCCATCACTAACAGAATGCATTGTCAATGCAGAACATATTTTCTTTTTTTTGCCTTGCATTTACATAGCCCCCAGGTTCAAGTCGCACCAAAGATTATATTATAAGAGCTGTGCCAAAGATCTCAGTCTTCTCTGTCAGTCAGCTCAAAACTTGACTGCTTTTTCTCCCTTTTCTTGATTATAATTAATAACTAAAATGGTAGCTGTCTGTTCTGCCCTACCGCTTTCAACCCCCCACCCCCCAAAAAAAACCCACAATCTAAAAAAAACCACCACACAGAGAAGGAAGACAGGAGTGGAGAAAGGAAGGGAGAGAACCTACGTGGCAGAAATTGAAACTGTTTTTATCAGGCATGTTAATGCCTTTGGCACTGAACTGTATCTGTCAAGAGAGCAGGGGAAAATATATGTTTCACTGAACTGCACTGGAGATGGATGACTTTCTGTGCATTAAAAAAAGAACCACTCTCCATATCCAAATATTACAGAGCATTTATTTCAATCATCGAATATGTGCAACTCATAATTATCTGCTGCTTTTGAGACTCTAGAGCCTTAGCACAGAAATAAGAAATGAAGTTTTAATTTTCCTCAGTGCTCGGTAAAATAAGGGCAGTTATCTTTTGGGTTATGCTCATTGTGAGAAGTGAAAATGAACTAACAAATTCTATGGAAGAGAGATGATATTTTTTGTTACATGTTCCTTAGTTTCTAAAGGAAGGAAACACATAAATAACCTTCATTCTAGGCTAGACTTCGTCTTCAGATGAGAGCACTTAGTTTTCACTGACATCAGAGTGAGCTGCATGTGCACATTCAGGAGGGAAATTTGACGCTTGATTCACACGTCTCCTAGTTAATTTTTGTTGGATTAAAATGAATCTTAAGTAGCATCCCTTGATCTGGATTGTGTTGGCACTGCAGCTGTGGGGTGTTCTGAACGTTGCTTGCCTTTTAAGGTGGGGCAGTAGTCATGTCAAATGAATTGCAAATCTAGTTGTTAAAAAAAGTAAATTTAAAAAACAATCCATCAAATTGCTTTGTTTCAGAATGCTTTTGCACCCTTGACTGATGCCAAGACTAGGAGCCATGCTGATGATGTGGGTCTCGTTCTTTCTTCATTACAGGCTAGTATATACCGAGGGGGATACAGCCGTTTTGCTCCATACTAAATGACAAAACCATAAAAACCTTCCAATGTGGGGAAAAAGGAAGCTTTCCGAGGCCTGGGTATTGCAATACATGCAGTAGTGCATCATTTTAGCGACTCTAAAAAGAGGAAAAATTACATTTTTTATCTTATACCTCAGATATTTTGTTCTGTGTATTTTAATATTGTGGGTCTTTAATTTCTGAAGGTTACGTAGTTTGATTGCTGGCTGTAGAAGTTTTTGTGGTTGATCTAGAAAGCTGCTAGATATGAATAAAAACTGTTTTAGGGCCACAATCAAGAGTGCTATATCATGTAAATGAATTATATATGCTGAATATTAAGCTATTGGGGTTATCACATGTTTTGTAAGAGTGTAAGTGACTACAGTAGTCATTTTTTTCTGCATCTACATTGATTTTCGTTAATGAGAGGGAGGGAGGGGGGAAATTTGGGACGTGGGAACGGGGTTTGGCTAAAATATTAATTAATTAAGCAAAAAGGGGCCCCACTGCACCAACTGTCATGTATCACCTGTCTTAAATTATTCACTGTTTGTTCAAAGCCAAAGGTTATGTTCTTATGAGGGGTGCTTCGCTCGACACTTGTACATAAAAATCAGATTAAAAGCTGTCCGAAGGCACCCTTTTAAAGCATTCCACCAGGCAGTATTCAGCTATTTAACCATAACTAGTTATTTAGGCAAAAACTGCTAGTTAGACCATTAACAAGCATTCTTTTTATATTTCTTCCAGTAAAATAAATTATTGATATCATTGCTGACTTTTATATTATGGGAGGGAAAAAAAAAAAAAAAAAAATAAAAAGGGGAAAAAAGCACTGTTTCTATTTTTTTCTTTTTTTTCCAAAAAAGAAAGTAATAAAAACTTAAATTCTTTGTACCAATAAAAAAAAAAAATGTATAAAATTTACATCCGTGCAGTGGAGTTGTTAAGTTCTAGAGATACACAGCCTATGACGCTTTAGATTTAGCCTAGTAGACCAACTGTTAGAGACAGACGTATCATTTTTATGGAATTATATGATAATCATATTCAGATTTATATAAGCATTTTACAAGTATTGCAGTCATTGAGTAGAGGTAATCATGGTATTTTCATCAGCTTGGTACTTTTTGAAACATGACCGTGTCGTGTAAACAACCTGCAATTTTTCAAGGCATGACAACGTGCCCCCGTTGAATTTCAAAGTAAGGTCATTTTGCTAAATATTGGGCCCAAGACAACTCTTCAACTGGGACAGAAGAGGGACCTTGGTCTTGCCCGAGCCCTGCCTGGAGGAGGCTGCTCGGCAGGGGCCAGGGCAGCCCAGCAGACGCCCAGGTGGCAGTTTCAAGCCTAGCTGAAAAATTGCAGTTTGTCTGTGCATATGTTTGGACTCTTTCCATGTTGTCCTGTTTACAAGTTAACCTAAGTTGGGGTGTTTGTCACGGGTCTTCTTGTTTTTGTATTTAAATAAATAAAGCAGAAGACTGTCTCGCTACAGTTTTGCTGCAGATAGTTATATCCTCATGTGTAACGTGCCTGCCTCCTGGCAAGCACCTTAGTAAATGATCAACTCACCGCTGTGAACCTGCCAACTTGCTATAACAACTCTGCTTTAAAAAAAGTGTTTGTGATCAGGCTTTATCTTTGTCATCGTATGTGCATGCAGTATGATCAGTTGAACAATAACCATCAATAAAGTTTCACAAGATTTGAAAACAAAGTTTCTGTAGCATTTATATCTAAGAATGGAAAATAAATTATCTTTAAAATTGAAACAGAGAGAGAAAGAGACTATATTAATCAATGAAAAATGGGGCAGCAATGTATATTTATAGTGGTGAGGGAATGAACTGAAATTTATGAAGAGTTCAATCCCCACAGTTATTCTATAAGATATAAAAAAAAAGCCTCCTATTAAAAAAAAAGTAATCATTTAAACACAACGATAGAAGCAACTCGAAAAATGTTTACCAATTGTTAGGCTTCTAATTCAAAGTGTGGATGATACATCTTTTTTTGGAATTGCACACACAAAATGTCTAATGTGGGGAATAACAGAATTTATTTGCAATTTTAATTTTCATGAGATGGCTTTACAACTCCCACTCTCCAAATGATTATATGGCATTTTAGTCTATTAAGATAATCTTGAAAGGTTGAGGGTGCAGCCCATATTAGAAAATATTTTGTTTATAAAGCTCATACAGTACTCCTAGTAGTCATTTTAAAATGTATGTCTGAAATAGTTATGTAAGAAAAGCATTTGAAATTTTTTTACAATATATATTGGGAATGTTTTCACTTATATAAATAACTACTGATAATATGACTTATGAAAAAAATTATTACTACCATATGTGGAATATAGTGAGTTCTAAACAGATTTAAAAAAACACCCTACAAACCCAGAAAATGTGTATATCTGTCTTTAGAAATTAGTGTTTATATCACAACCGTGATTTGTGAATAAAGAAAAATGATTTGTAATATCAAAATAAAAGCTTAGTCTGAAAAGGTTGAAATGTTGGTGTTCAAAGTCATTTTGCTTTGCTTTTCTTTTTTACTGTCTTGGTGGAAGAGCTCTCCACAGTTGCACCATCCATACTGTACCCCATACACTTCTGAAGAGCTGTAGCATGGACAAGGTTCACAGCTCCTTTACTGCCTGGAGATGGTGTTTGGGAGCCTGCCTGGGCAAAGGGCTCTGCTGTGGCTAGTGGCCCTCCTGCCCAGGGGGCACAGGAGGTGGGGCTGGGCTGGGCGGTGGGAGGGGAGGTCTGTGGGAGGAGGGCAATAACCTCATCTGCACGCCCAGCCCTGGCTGCTGCAGCCCCAGGCCAGAGCGACAAGATTCAGTGCAGGACAGGTTGGGGGTTTCCATCCCCAAAAGGCAAGGTTAATCCAGTAGCAGGTGTATTTTTCAGGCAACACTGCATGATACTTGAGGAAGAATTGGGTTTTCCTAGTGAGAAAAAAAGAGCATCTTCCAAACTGACAGTATTTAAACAGGACATTGTATTGTATCGTATTGTAGTTTAGCAGAGGAAAAGAAGGCGTAAAAATAAGGGTTTAAATATTGCATGTTTTGCAGTTGAGCAGCAAGCTTTACTCTAGAATGGTCTTGGATCCTTCTGGGAAGGTAAAGAGAAGAAACATCGTAGTGTGTTTGTCAGGGATTGTGGGGAGGTGTTATGTTATGCTTACTTTATATCTTTATATGAAATATGAGCCCTAAAAGGTGGAGTGTGTTCTCCTCCACACCATGCACGAGGGGTATACTGGCAGCACTTCCTCTGGTGGCTGGGTAGAATGGCCAAGGCAGAAATCCTGAGGAAGATTTGGACTGAAGGAAGGTGAGAAGCATGTGAATATATAAATGCAACCGGGGCACACACGGATGGACATACACAGAGAACCACATAATTTTCACATGGTTGGATTCATCTGCCTGTTGTCTGGTATCATTAATTGTGATTTAATGTAGTGCTTCCTTTCTTGGCCAAGTAGCCAGCACATGCCAAATTAATGAATACTTTGTATTCATTGAACAATTGGCCAGAGAATAAGCAAAGCATTGTGTGTAACCAAAAGAAAAAAAAAAAAAAAAGGAAAATGCAGTAAGCTTTTCAGGGTATATTTTCCAATTATTTGAACTTCTAATACAGATTTAATTGTGTAGCAAAGATTAAATTGAATCTTCTTAGGAAATCTTTCAGCTGTCCCTGTATACCATGTCCTGTACTACTCAGTCCTTTATCATCTTTAAGGGCATCCAAGTTGTTCATTAACTTCTTATTTTGGATAAAATGTTACCACTTTTAACTAGAATTTAATTTTCTTTAACTTTCTGGGAACTTTAATTTGGATTGCTGTTGTGCTGTGTTGCTGTTTCTTACCTCAAGTGATTTTTTTTGCAAGTTTGACATGTTCCTATTGCCACATTTTCTTAGTTTTACAGTACAGATGCATGAGGAAAAAAAGCTATGCAAATTATTTCCTCCCCAAAATAGAGCTGAAATATCATCATTTTGGTAGGTGGAGAGAAGAAAAAAGAAGGAAAAAAAAAAAATAGAAAGCAACCTTGTTTCAGTGGGAAGAGAAGATTTGAGTGGGAGGTGAGATCAGAAGGGATCTTGATTTTGGGATGATTTTGGGAGATCTTTGAAGAATTTATGAAAGTGTCATCAAAACCAGTCATCTTACCAGTATTATAAAAGTTTCTTATAATGCTTCATTTATTCCTAAAGGGCATACACTTCACCTCTCTCTGTAACACGAGCTTTATGCCAAATCTTTCCAGACTGGAACGTGAGTCCTTACAACACGTACCTTGTTTCATACAGCAGTGGGGATGTTTGCTTTTTGTCTGAAAGGGAAAATGTTCTCTGGCAGCTTTTATGTGTCTCCGGCACTTCCCTAGTGCTCTGCATACCAATAATTGTCTTGCAGCACTTCACAAAAAGCACAATGGACACGGACCAGGATCAGACAAAAATCTAGGTAGTATATGTCAGTAAATCATCAACCTGAATCTTTTCTACGAATGAGGTAAGACTGAGATTAGCACAGGGAGGAAGAACATTAAAAGTACTTCTAGCTCTAAGAGCTGGTCCTTATTTTCTTACTTGGAAAAGAAACATTTTAATTTAATGCTGGTTTCTATTTCAGTATGTGTGTCTGTTTCCTGGATCCACACAAAGGGTGTATGTATCTAATGCAGTGGTAGTGTGGCTGTAACAGTGATGTGACTACCTGAGTATTTCACCAGTGGCTTTAGTTGGCTAGGCTACAACTCTGGCTACACAACTCAGCAATGAAACATGCAGGTACTTTGAATTAGATTGATTAAGGGACCTGGAAACATCAACATCATTTATATGAACAACCAGGCAGCACTCAGGGCCAGCAGCTCCTGTTCAGCTGTTGTTTTGCTCTCTGTAGTAGATGTTGCCAAACTTTTCACATTCCTACCTGATGTCCTACCAGGGTACTCAAGGCAGACAATTTTGGTTTACACCGGTAGGTAGGAGTGCTAAGAGTGAGAGTGTTGTATTGAAGGGGAGGCAGAGGTGCCATGCCCACTGAAACCCTGCTCAAAGCACTCACAAATATATAGGGGAGATGGCTTTAAAAATGTTCTGTCGCCTCAACTTAATACAGGAGTTTTAGGGTTTTTTTCTGTATGTGTATATTGGCTCACATTATTCCCAGTTCTTCCATTAAAGCCCTTCAGTTTTACCTAAATAATTAGTCACAGAGAAACACTTTTTCAATGATCTGTTGGTTGGGACTCTGCAGTGGATTCCCCGTTCCACATTAGAGTGAAAAGAATCTTGCCCCCATGACCCCATGGCTTGCAGACTGGATGACAGTGACCATCCCTTCTCTTTCCCAGGAGACAGGTTGGCTCGTGGTAGGTTCCTGATTCCAAAAGAGAGATTCACAGATGAAAATCCAGACTGGAGAAAAGCTCATTGTGCGTAAGGTACTTCACAGCACTCCAGTCTGCAGCTCAGCACTGCTTGTGGCTGGGTTTAGTTTGCTTTGTTAGCTTTGATTTGCCCATGCACTGCCTGGGCAGCCTGCGTGCCCAGCCAATTTAATGATGCCATTCTTTAGCAAAAGGCTTGTAAGTCAGGAGTTCAGGACGTAGGTAAACTATTAAATAAAACATAAGTGAGTGCAAAAATAATCGTTTAATGGACATTATGAAAGGACAGTAAACTAAACTGTTCAGTCCAGTGGATGATGTATAACATCTAAACAAATATGACAACTAATTAAGGATTAGGTTCTGCATTTTGGATGACAGGCCTTGTAAAAATGAAGTTAGATTATGTTGGGGGAAAAAAAAAAGCTGCATTTTGCAAATGTCAGGCAGACAGCTCAGTAAGCAGAAAAGCTCAGTTATCCAATTAAAATAAATGTGCAGTGTTCTCAATATGAAGAACTAAAACATCCTTATGTTGAGGAGTTAAGATCCTGAAATATAAGTGAGGCAAAAAGTGCTCTCTATAAAGATTAATGTAATCTATCAAGATTAACATTTTGCATGCTGGCAAAGGCATATAGTAATGTGTTTCAATTCCTGAAATTGGGAACATTAGACTAAGATCAGTACCAGTTTAAACCCCAGGTAACCCCAAATATTGAATTGAATTCATTATTTGCAACCATGATGGGCTAATAAACTTGCCCTAATGGCTTCTATGGGAAATAGATACCTACAGTAGGTGTTATCCTACTTCCCATAGTCCTCTCTGATACTTCATGTGAAATGTAATAACAAGTTGCATAAATGTAATTTAGGGAAATGTCTTCCACTAAAAGTAATTCCTGATTTATTCAGGAGTTTGATTTCTGTACTAAGAAAGATTAAAGATGTTTATGAACATTATATTGTGCTTGGGCATCATGAGAGAGGCCACAGAGTTTCCAGACAACCTGTGGAGGACATAGTTCAACCTCTTTTTTTTTTTTTTTTTTCTTTTTCCCTTGCTTTCTAAAAAAAGAAGGTAGTTACATAACAGTGTAAAGTGAGTGGTGGGAAGGGATCACAACAGCAATTAAACTCGTTTCATTGCAGGAAAGAGCTTACTATCTAGAACTCCATGATAACTGCCAGCAGAGCATGTCTCTGTTTTAAGCCAAGCTTTAAACCTGCCCTTTGGCGTAGGCTTCTAAAATACGCATTTCTAAGGCTGGAAACATAACCACACACAAATTTTCTAAAAGGATATTCAGTGCAAAGCATTTGCAACAGAATTAACATGAAACATATGGATTTTCTGGTGGTTTATAAAGCAGAAAGCAGAACATTATTAGTAGGAGGGAGGCTTTAGAGGCTTTACCAGGGATGTTAGAATGGAATTAAAGTTTGTGAGATGCCTGATTTATATATATAAAAAAAAACCCCAAACCTGTCAGATGTTGAAATAAGAGGTGAGAATATCAGCTCTGCAGTGCTTGAGACAGCATGGAAGATGATGGCTGTAACACTCCCACTTCTGTTTAATTTTGCCACCCCCAGAACTGCCACCTTTTTTGTGAAGTGAGCAGTTGCACTTGCAGCTCTGAGTGCCTCTGCTGTCCTCACCTTTATTCTGCTAGAAGCTCCGCTTCACATCTTCTTGGACCCAACTTTTGATGGTCCCCAAGAAGAGCAATGATCCCACTGCCTATTATTTCCAGAGGGATGGCCTGGGGATGCAGACATTGTTCATTTGCAGCTTCAGCTGATAAACTGTAACTGAGGTTTCACAACAGGCTTGGAAGATCTGGAGCCCTGTTGCTCCACAGCTAAAAAGCAAACAAAGGCACTTTTTTTTTAAGGAAAAAATGGCAAGCAAGAGGGGAAAAAAACACTTTTATCTGAGAAGCTGAAAAACAGCTTTTATTGGCAGTTCTCATACAGTGAGATTGGAAAGAGAAATATGCATGCTGCTAAAGTTGGTAGATTCTGCTGGAGTTAAGAAATTCCTCTGGGATGTCTCTAGATTCTGATACATGTCTTTTTG